AAGATATGATCATAAGTTGATTTTCACAAAATGGCGCCTAGATGACGTCACGATGACCTTGAGTCATTGAAAAGTCATGCAGTTCTAAGTTAGACTAAGATCTATCATCATGCCAAGTTTTATGATTATAGCTTTATTCATTCTTGAGATATCTTGCGAACAAATTCGAGGAAGAATAATAAAAATAAACTAGACTTTAATTCGTCACTTAGACGAATTAGGTGATACGTATGATAATGGTTTACATAACGAATAATGCATTACACGATATATTATTTTATCAAATTCTTCTCCCATTATGATCCATCCATATGTCAAGATTAAATTGTGTCTCCTTGATCATCATGGATCTAGGGAAAATAGATTGTGACGATATATGACCACTGACCCTGTGCAGTAACCAGTTACACATTTGACTCTAATTTACATCATGAAGAACACCTTTTGACGATTTTATCTTATTTAAAGAAATGAAAATGTAATTGATAAATGATTATCATCATTATGATAATGATAATCATGATGATAATGATCATGATCATGAGCGCGATCATGACATCTTATTGAAAAAATGAGAGTTGATTTAGATAGCATATAGTCTCAGCTACAACATACTCAAAAATCAACAAAATCCAAGCAGAAATATCGACGATATTGCTCAAAACACAGGAATGTAGACTCCAGATTTGAGAAAAAGTCATCTCCCATAGGGATTACACGCAAAAAGTAATGGATGAAGTGAAAATAGGGTAATAATAAAGTAAAAAGGGTTGTTTATGACATTATTTGCGATTCTACGTGTTTAAATAATCAAAGGAGATGGTACAGTGAAGGTCAAAAGGAAAAAAAAGTGAAGAAAAAAATTGTTGGAGACACCCGGACTCGAACCAGGGATCTCGACGTTGGAAGTCAAGTGCGTTACCAATATACCAAAACATTTCCCATAGCGAGTACACGTAAACGGGAAATGGAATTCTCAAATCCTACTTTGCAAGTGAAATATGAGCATAATCCCGGCATCTGATCGAAAAATAAAAGGCACATTGGTGATAGCTTATCGTCTCAGCTACAACATATTCAAAGCTCAGCGAAAACGAAGTTAAAACAACGGAGATTTTGCTCGCGAAAGACAGGAGTGTCGAATCCAGTTTTGAGAAAAAGTCATGTCCCATAGAGAATACACGCAAAATGTGAAAAATTGACATGCCTCCTTTAATCGCAAAAATACGCCATGATGCCTTTGTCAAAATGAAAAATTGTGGACACTATATTTGTATAAAATTGTCTCAGCTAAAACATTTCAAGATTTGAAAGAAAATCAATCAATATTTACAGAGATACAATCAATTTTCCAAAAATATGCAAACGTCATAATATGCAAATTAAAATTTTGAGTTCGGAGACCATTATGATGACGTCATTAGTTAATTGAGGGTCAAATGAGACATGAAATAATATCTCCGACTCATAATCTATCTAGAATGAAAAAATATTGGGAGTTCATATCTATTCTGAAGAGTTACAAAGATTTTTGTATAGGCATGTTTTTGCTCATGTATTGTGGATAAAGATGACGCAGGTCCGCGCGCGCTGTCAACTTTGACGGACGCTCATTGCGTTATTAAAGGGTTAACAAGTTATCAAAATGCTTGGAAAAATGTGCCAAATATGATGATAGAGAAATTTCGGCGAATCTATGTTGCAAAACGCTAGTACGCGCAAAAAACGCGCGCGCATGCGCGTGAGCATAATTTTGTGTCAAATGCTCCATATGGCCTGAAACGTATGCAAAAAAAATTTGGGATGGTTTAGAGCATTTTTAATTTTTGCGCGCGCGTAAACGAGCGGACGAACGCGCACGCGCGCATTTGCGCACGTTTATTGACCTGAAATTGACCGGACGGATATTGATCTTAATCGTGATAATTATGAATGAAAAATACTTTTACATTATGAAGATATGATCATAAGTTGATTTTCACAAAATGGCGCCTGGATGACGTCACGATGAGTTTGAGTTGTTGAAAAGTCACGCAGTTCTAAGTTAGGCTAAGATCTATCATCATGGCAAGTTTCATGATAATGGCATTAACCATTCTTGAGATATCCTGCGAACAAAATTGAGGAAGAATAATAATAATTTCTTCTATACAGACACAAAATAAATACTAGACTTTAATTCGTCACTTAGACGAATTAGGTGATACGTATGATAATGGTTTACATAACGAATAATGCATTACACGATATATTATTTTGTAAAATGCTTCTCCCATTTATATGCTTCTCCCATTATGATCTATTCATATGTCAAGATTAAATTGTGTCTCCTTGATCATCATGGATCTAGGGAAGATAGATTGAAACAATATATGACCTTTGACCCTGTGCAGTAACCAGTTACACATTTGACTCTAATTTACATCATGAAGAACACCTTTTGACGATTTTATCTTATTCAAAGAAATGAAAATGTAATTGATAAATGATTATCATCATTATGATAATGATGATCATGATGATAATGATCATGATCATGAGCGCGATCATGACATCTTATTGAAAAAATGAGGGTTGATTTAGATAGCATATAGTCTCAGCTACAACTTACTCAAAAGTCAACAAAATCTAAGCAGAAATAACGGCGATATTGCTCGCAAAAGACAGGAATGTAGACTCCAGATTTGAGAAAAAGTCATCTCCCATAGAGATTACACGCAAAAAGTAATGGATTAAGTGAAAATAGGGTAATAATAAAGTAAAAAGGGTTGTTTGTGACATTATTTGCGATTCTACGTGTTTTAATAATCAAAGGAGATGGTACAGTGAAGGTCAAAAGGAAAAAAAAGTGAAGAAAAAAATTGTTGGAGACACCCGGACTCGAACCAGGGATCTCGAGATTGGAAGTCAAGTGCGTTACCGATATACCAAAACATTTCCCATAGCGATTACACGTAAACGGGAAATGGAATTCTGAAATCCTACTTTGCAAGTGAAATATGAGCATGATCCCGGCATCTAATCGAAAAATAAAGGGCGCACTTGTGATAGCTCATTGTCTCAGCTACAACATATCCGAAGTTCAGCGAAAACGAAGCTAAAACAACAGAGATTTTGCTCGCGAAAGACAGGAGTGTAGAATCCAGTTTTGAGAAAAAGTCATGTCCCATAGAGAATACACGTAAAATGTGAAAAATTGACATGCCTTCTTTAATTGCAAAAATACGCCATGATGCCTTTGTCAAAATGGAAAATTGTGGATTATTTATTTGTAGAAAATTGTCTCAGGTAGAACATATCAAAATTTAAAAGAAAATCAATCAATATTTACAGAGATACAATCAATTTTCCAAAATTATGCTGACGTCATAATATGCAAATTGAAATTTTGAGTTTGGAGGCCATTATGATGACGTTATGAGTTAATTGAGGGTCAAATGAGACATGAAATCATATCTCCAACTTATAACCTATCTAAATATGAAAAAATATTGGGAGTTTCTATCTATTCTGAAGAGTTACAAAGAATTTTGTATAGACATGTTTTTGCTCATGTATTGTGGATAAAGATAACGCAGGTCCGCGCGCGCTGTCAACTTTGACGGACGCTCAATGCGTTATTAAAAGGTGAACAAGTTATCAAAATGCTTGGAAAGATGTACCAAATATGATGATAGAGAACATTCGGCGATTCTATGTTGCAAAATGCTAGTACGCGCAAAAAACGCGCGCGCATGCGCGTTTGCGTGATTTTTTGTCAAATGCTCCATATGGCCTGAAACGTATGCAAACAAAATTTGGGATGATTTGGAGCATTTTAATTTTTTTCGCGCGCGTAAACGCGCGTACGAACGCGCACGCGCGCATTTGCGCACGTTTATTGATCTGAAATTGACCGGATGGATATTGATCTTCTTCCTGATAAATATGAATGAAAAATTCCTTTCCGTTATGAAGATATGATCATAAGTTTATTTTCACAAAATGGCGCCTGGATGACGTCACGATAATTTTGAGTCTTTGAAAAGTCACGCAGTTCTAAGTTAGACTAAGATCTATCATCATGGCAAGTTTCATGATAATGGCTTTATTCAGTCTTGAGATATCCTGCGAACAAATTCGAGGAAGAATAATAATAAATAAATAAATAAATAAATAAATAATAAAAATCTTGACGAAATCAAAAGGTGATACGTCTACGTACGTATCACCTAAAAAAATAATAACTAGACTTTAATTAGTCACTTTGACGAATTAGGTGATACGTATGCTCATGTGTAACATAATAAAGAACGCATTTTTACGATTTCATATTTCGTTTACTACTCCCATTATGTTCTATCCATGAGTCAAGTTTCAACTGTAGGGCAGAGGGAGACAGACCAAGAGAATAAGAGGGACGCAAGGCAAGAGAGAGAGAGAGAGAGAGAGAGGGAGAGGGTGAAAGAGAAGAGAGATAGATAGATGCAGAGACAGACCAAAAAAAGGAGAGGGGCAGAACATGAGAGGAGAAGTAAAAGAGCAAGAGAGTGGAGAGAGAGAGATGCAATTGAGAACAATGCCTTCCAGATGACCATGATTGAAACAAAGAGATTCGATCATACACAGTATGTCCTCCGTAGGAGGACTAGAGGGCCAACTAAAATCGTGACCTTTGACATTTCATAGGTTTTGCATTGGATGCATTATGGGGGTTTTGTCCGATTTGAACGACGGTTTTGGAGGGTCAATGAATATTCATGAGCAATGACGTAGAAAATACGCCAATTACTGTTTGTTGATTGGCCATCGACAAAATGTTTTATGTATTAGGTCATGCATAAAACATTTTTTGCATTCCCAGAATTCCCTACGATTTGAGCACGAAAATGGCGGTTGTATGAACTGCAACTTTCAAGTTATTCAATTACGAACAATGAAACATTTTTCTTTTAAGTGAATTTCTATTATAATAGAAGTTTGTCAAGTACATCTCAGTGAAGCAGAAAATCTTCAGGCGAACATTGACATCGAAGTGATACCCTATGATATCAAGAAAAGTAAGTAAAGATCCATTTTGTGTGAAGGTCTCTGAAATGATTGTGATGTGTTCGTCATTGCAGTGAGCGGCTCTCCGCATTGTCACAACGTATTACCCGGTTAACCCCCTACCCCATCCTCTTTTCTTTCTTCTGACCAAAGAATATTAACTAATTGAATGAACTCTAATTTAAGTCATCGACGGTAATATTTTTAGAAACAATCAGGATTTTACCGTAGGTTATTTCATTAGAGCACATCTCATAATTTTAAGTTCAGTTCATAGCTTGATTACCGATAGTAATCGGTCGTAGATGTGGACCTGTTGGAGACTGCGCGGTTTATGATCTTCAATCCGCCGGTTCTAGCCGGCTGTAACACTCCACCAAGAAGCGACTGCGTTTCCTGAGCTGGCGCGGCTATAACTTACAGTGTGTTACTGTAAAGCCTAGGGCTAGGCTAGTATTCATAGCATAGTCTGGCCTGAATTTTCTGTCTCTTTTGTTCGTTAGCCCTTGATTTGGGTAGGGTCGGCTCCTCTCTTCAGCCGACCCTACCCAAATCAGACGCTAACGAGCGAAAGAGACAGAAACATTCGGGCTAAGCAAAGCCTAAGCAGAGCCTAGGGCTAGGCCTAGATCTAGGTCTAGTCTAGATCTAGCACTTAAATATAAACAGCATTTAACCCCGCATCTAGTATAGGCCTAGATCTAGGGCTAGATTCTAGGCCTAATGCATTCTAATAAAGAAAGACTAAATAAATGCCTAGTGTAGGTGGATTAAATAAATGATGTGGAAGTTATGGAGAGAGGGGGGGGGGTGCGCAATCATTCTGTGCCCCCCTTTTCAGATGTGGCATAGGTCTAGGGACGGGTCTAGATCTAGGTCTAGAGCCACCTACTAATAATACTAAAAATAGGCAATTAGATCTAGATCTATAGCTTGTGTTATGCCATAGCAAAGAATTCCATAGCCATGGGTCTAGTGTCGTTTTTGCTCCACTAGACTAGACTAGTCGTGCACATGTGTCATTATTGTGATCCAGGTCCAGATTCAGCTTAGTTTGAATGTAGATCTAGTACTAGGCTAGATCTACCATCAACAACAAAAACAAAAGAAAAAAGGTGTCTCCTCCCCCCCCCCCCCCCCCCCTCCACCTCTTTCCCTGATTTCTGCTCTTACTTCATGTCATTGTGCCTTGTTTGAAATAATTAGTTTATTTTCAGGATTTTATGCCACCCCTTTTAGTTTTATGTTGGTGAGAATTCTGGATCCAACCCTACATATGATATGGATATTTCTTTCTTTATTAAAGGACATGAACAAAGTTATAAACTGATAACTAATGCATGTTTGATATTAGCAGGAACCTTACTAAGTTTATGTTTTCTTTAAATTGTAGATCTTATGGAACAAAGAAGCAGATAATGATCACAGAAGTGCAACAAAGAGCACCAGGACCTGATCATCAAATGTTATGGTGTAGATCTAATCAAGAACAGGACACCTAAGTTGAACTCTGGCAAGGTATGTTTGTATGAAGTTCGAAAATATTCAGGCTATATAATCTAAGCCCATGCGAACACCGCACTCGACTTGGACTATATACAAAGATTTGGGGAACTGTCATCTTGTGTTGCATTATATCTTGTAATTCTCATTTATTCTCTAGCTTTTTATTTAGGTGACAAAATATGGTGTTGCTACAGTTTATTCTCTCAGCATATTAAAAGACGTACTCAAAGGCATTTTTTCCTAAATATTACATTATATCTAACAAACTTTTATTCACAAAAGTCTAGCAAATAATAACTTAAAATAAATTGGAAATTACTTTTAAAATAATTGGAAATACATCTAAACCTTTACTCTTTTTTTCAAAAAAGGCCCTATCATATAGACATAAGTTTATCATTTTTTAATAAAATTAAAATGCAAGACCTAAACAAAGTGGGAAGGTACTAGATCTATTTTTGAAAATCCAATGTAATGCAGCAGTTTTAATCTTATTTGATTTTTCCTCTCTTTTTGTTTTCATTATGCAGGTTGTCCCTTGCAGAAGGTTTGATACCCAGGCTTCTTTTGTACAAATCCCTAGTCCACCCTCATCTTGAGAACTGTTCCTGTGTCTGGGATCCCTACAACATCTCAGATTTCCAGGACGCTACTTCACAATGGGGACCACAAGTGAACCAGCAGTTTGACTGAGATGATCAGCACCTTTAGTTGCCTACTATATCTACAACTACAAGGCACTCTGCAAGAAGACTGGGAATGGTGCACAAGATAGTCTATGGTCTCTCCGCTCTCCCTTGAAAATTTTCCCACTGCACTACTTATAGCTACTTGCGCCCTCTATATAGCAAACAATGCCTAATCGGTGCCTGTTGGTCCCCCATGATCCTCTTTTTCTTATATTAATTGAGGGCTGATTTGATGAGATAACCACCTGTAAGTGACCTTGCAGGGTGGTCTAATCCCCCAGACCAAACTAGTACAGACGGGCTTTAACAAATCACGAGCAGGAAGTACCATGACATGACCCTCCAGTTGCACGAAGCCAAAAGCGACATAGACAAGTTTGTATTTGCCCAACACTCTGTCCCAAAGTTAATGGAACTTACTTCCAGCAAATATAGTGCATGCTGACAGTCCAGAGAACTGCCAGGGACTACTTCTGAGGCATCTACTCTCCTTATCCCACTTAGAAACAATCTATCTTCCTCACACCACTTGTAATCTTTAGTATTAATTCATCTTCGTGATAGGCTACAACGCCTTTTGAAGATTACCAGAAGAAGAAGAAGAAGATATATCGAGGATCATGAAAGTAATCATTTGTTCTTTTAAATGCGTGTACATGAAACATGAACTGGATAGTAAATTGAAGGGGGGGGGGATAAAATGATGTAGTTCGATAGTAATACTGTAGTAATATAATTAATAACATTAATAATAATAAAAATATTACAAATAGTAACAATAATGACAATGATCATGATAATAGCAGTAATAATAATGATAATACAGGTAGTAGTAAAAACGACAATAATGTCCAATGTAAGATAAAGTACTCATAAAACTCAGTATATACCTGTGCTTTACATAATAAAACAGCATGTTGATATTATTGATTTTTTTTCCTCAAAATCTACAGTAAACTTTTACAACTGAAAAATTTGAATTCAAGAGACAGCACCCCCCCCCCCCCTCCCCCATCCTTTTGTCATCCTTTTGTTGATGTCATGTTGGATTTAAAAAGATCTTTATAGAAACAAAATATGTTGATAAATGAGTTCATAGATGTTAATAAATTAGTTAATACTGCTCAATTCTGTTCTTTTCATTTTCTTATTTTGTGAAATATATGGGATGATGCTGGTGATTATGATGATGTAGGCACTCTGTAATGATAATGCTCTATGACTGAGGTGAGATGGGGGTTGATGCAGTCTTGTGTAGAACTGAGTATGGTGTTCGACCATTTGATGTTTGTGTATATCTGGCATCAGCGAAATAGATTTAACCATCTTTCCTAATGAGAGAGAAAGCGGAAATGTAACAAGAGAGTGGACAAGACTAATGTATAAATATAATATAAAAAATGGTTTACAATAAAGATGAGGGGGGGGTTAAATAAAGAATAAGTCAATGCCAAAATGATGAAAGCATAGGTAATTGGGGTGTGGATGGGGGAGGGAGGGTAATAGAGCCTATGGAAATGTCAATATTGGAAGGGGTCCCTGTATTGAAAATGTTACTGATGGGGGGGGGGGGGCAAATTTAAAAAATAACAGTGGCGACGAATGCAAGAATGAAAAGAACGAGACAAAATAGAAATTTCATTTGGGATGGGGCACAATATGAAGATCATTGAAGTCGAGGTGAGAATGATTCATTTTTTGGACGCTAAAAATATGAATATATCACTTGTTGAGTGGGCTAAAGGATCAGTGCAATTTTTCTGATTAAAAAGTTAATAAACGAACAAAACAAAAAAGGTAAACAATGAATTGAGGTACCACAGTGAAATGGGGTCATTATTTTTGCCTTTTAACTGAACTGAATTTAAAAAAATGTACTTTCCATCCTGGTGACAGTGAAGTTTGTGGCCCCAACTAAGTCAACCACTTAAAAGTTTATTACCCCCCCCCCCCCCCCCCCCAACACACACACACCTCCCCAACTCTGACCTTTGTTCTACATTATTCGGCCCAAGGATTCTGTCGAGAGTAACGCATGCGCATTGTCTTTTTTTCATTACGATAATATGCTAATAAGTGGAAATGAGCTCATGAATATTCCAAATTTTAATTTACATATTTTACGCGCTGCGCGCAGTCCAAAATCCCCAATTCGCTGGTGCACTAAAAATTTGTCGTCTTCATAGGCTAATACACGATAAGTGGAAGCAGTGTGCACTTTTGACCCTCCAAAATCTCCCCATGGCTAGACGGATGCAGAAGCGGAGTTGCACCCCCCTGGATTGAAAGTGGTATAGCGCCCCCTTCAGGTATCCGATTGAGGATTGTTTTATATGATAATTGACATGTCACCTATGATTGAATTTTTGACTATGATAACGTCATGATAATGTTAGATAGTCTACATAAATCTCGTGGAAACTTGTCTCAGCTACAACATACTCAAAAATCAACAAAATCCAAGCAGAAATATCGGCGATATTGCTCAAAACACAGGAATGTAGACTCCAGATTTGAGAAAAAGTCATCTCCCATAGGGATTAAAAGCAAAAAGTAATGGATTAAGTGAAAATAGGGTAATAATAAAGAAAATAGGGTTATTTATTACATTATTTGCGATTCTATGTGTTTTAATACTCAAAGGAGATGGTACAGTGAAAGGTCAAAAAGTAAAATGAAGACAAATATTGTTGGAGACACTCGGACTCGAACCATGGATCTCGAGGATGGAAGTCAAGTGCGTTACCGATATACCAAAACATTTCCCATAGCGATTACACGTAAACGGGAAATGGAATTCTCAAATCCTACTTTGCAAGTGAAATATGAGCATAATCCCGGCATCTGATCGAAAAATGAAAGGCACACGTGTGATAGATTATTGTCTCAGCTACAACATATTCGAAGCTTAGCAAACACTAAGCTAAGACAACGGAGATTTTGCTCGTGAAAGACAGGAAAGTAGAATCCAGTTTTGAGAAAAAGTCATGTCCCATAGAGAATACACGCAAAATGTGAAAAATTGACATGCCTCCTTTAATTGCAAAAATACGCCATGATGCCTTTGTCAAAATGAAAAATTGTGGACACTATATTTGTAGAGAATTGTTTCAGCTAGAACATATCGAAATTTAAAAGAAAATTAATCAATATTTACAGAGATACAATCAATTTTTCAAAAATATGCAAACGTCATAATATGCTAATTTAAATTTTGAGTTCGGAGGCCATTATGATGACATCATGAGTTAATTGATGGTAAAATGAGACATGAAATCATATTTCCATTTCAAAATCTATCCACATATGAAAAAATATTGGGAGTTCCTATCTATTCTGAAGAGTTACAATGAATTTTGTATAGGCATGTTTTTGCCCATGTATTGTGGATAAAGATAACGCAGATCCGCGCGTGCTGCCAACTTTGACGGACGCTCATTGCGTTATTTAAAGGTGAACAAGTTATCAAAATGCTTGGAAAAATGTGCCAAATATGATGATAGAGAAAATTCGGCGATTCTATGTTGCAAAATGCCAGTACGCGCGGAAACGCGCACGTATGTGCGTGTGCGCGATTTGCGAAATGCTTATAATGGCCTGAAACGTATGCAAAAAAAAATGATTTTGAGCATTTTTAATTTTTGCGCGCGCATTAACGCGCGCGTTTGCGCACGTTTATTTACCTAAAATTGACCGGACGGATATTAATCTTAATCATGATAAATATGAATGAAAAATTACTTTCCGTTATGAAGATATGATCATAAGTTGATTTTCACAAAATGGCGCCTGGATGACGTCACGATAATTTTGAGTCTTTGAAAAGTCATGCAGTTCTAAGTTAGACTAAGATCTATCGTCATTGAAAGTTTCATGACAATGGCTTTTGCCATTCTTGAGATATCCTGCGAACAAAATTGAGGAAGAATAAAAAGAAAAAAAAACTAGACTTTAATTCGTCACTTAGACGAATTAGGTGATACGTATGATAATGGTTTACATAACGAATAATGCATTACACGATATATTATTTTGTAAAATGCTTCTCCCATTTATATGCTTCTCCCATTATGATCTATTCATATGTCAAGATTAAATTGTGTCTCCTTGATCATCATGGATCTAGGGAAGATAGATTGAAACAATATATGACCTTTGACCCTGTGCAGTAACCAGTTACACATTTGACTCTAATTTACATCATGAAGAACACCTTTTGACGATTTTATCTTATTCAAAGAAATGAAAATGTAATTGATAAATGATTATCATCATTATGATAATGATGATCATGATGATAATGATCATGATCATGAGCGCGATCATGACATCTTATTGAAAAAATGAGGGTTGATTTAGATAGCATATAGTCTCAGCTACAACTTACTCAAAAGTCAACAAAATCCAAGCAGAAATAACGGCGATATTGCTCGCAAAAGACAGGAATGTAGACTCCAGATTTGAGAAAAAGTCATCTCCCATAGAGATTACACGCAAAAAGTAATGGATTAAGTGAAAATAGGGTAATAATAAAGTAAAAAGGGTTGTTTGTGACATTATTTGCGATTCTACGTGTTTTAATAATCAAAGGAGATGGTACAGTGAAGGTCAAAAGGAAAAAAAAGTGAAGAAAAAAATTGTTGGAGACACCCGGACTCGAACCAGGGATCTCGAGATTGGAAGTCAAGTGCGTTACCGATATACCAAAACATTTCCCATAGCGATTACACGTAAACGGGAAATGGAATTCTGAAATCCTACTTTGCAAGTGAAATATGAGCATGATCCCGGCATCTAATCGAAAAATAAAGGGCGCACTTGTGATAGCTCATTGTCTCAGCTACAACATATCCGAAGTTCAGCGAAAACGAAGCTAAAACAACAGAGATTTTGCTCGCGAAAGACAGGAGTGTAGAATCCAGTTTTGAGAAAAAGTCATGTCCCATAGAGAATACACGTAAAATGTGAAAAATTGACATGCCTTCTTTAATTGCAAAAATACGCCATGATGCCTTTGTCAAAATGGAAAATTGTGGATAATTTATTTGTAGAAAATTGTCTCAGGTAGAACATATCAAAATTTAAAAGAAAATCAATCAATATTTACAGAGATACAATCAATTTTCCAAAATTATGCTGACGTCATAATATGCAAATTGAAATTTTGAGTTTGGAGGCCATTATGATGACGTTATGAGTTAATTGAGGGTCAAATG